TATATATATATATATATATATATATATATATATATATATATATATATATATATCTTACATACACACACGTAGAATTTAAACCATCAAAAAATGAAAGCAATGGATTCTAATTGTTTTAACATAACATATAACATAACATATAGTCATAGTCAAGTTAATTTTTAAAAAATGCTTTTTAAAAGTGCTTTAGTTCATTAAAATGGATTTCAAATGGATTTGACCTACAAATTAAAATATCAAATAGAACAGCTAATATGAACAGAAGGTGTGCATCTAAACAAGCAGCATCTTGCAACAATGTTGTTCTATTCAAGATAAATAGAACATTTCTCTTTAATAGAAATAGCTGTTCAGGTCCAAAGTAGAAAAGGTTATTCATATCCAAATAGCTGCACATCTCTATTCTTTAGTCAATGAATTAAACATGAAAATTGTGCCACATTATCTTAAGATTATAATTATCAATGGTTTAAATGGTTTAGGGTGCTCTTTGCCAGAATAGCTGCTAAAAATATATGTTGTCATAATGATAAGCTGGACGTAAACTATCTGTAAATTACCAGGTGTTTTGGTAGGGTCATACATTAGTCTTTTCCTTGCTTCTGATATGACCTTCTTAGTGACATTGGACTATACATATAAAAACAGAATGAGAGATGAATTTTTTCTTGGGACAGATCTAACAAAGTTTTTCCTCTTTCTTCATAGCACATGCAAATCAGGAAAAAAATAGCTTGATGTCAAGTAAAGGATGTGTTTCCTTAATATCTGATATTCTAGATGTAGAGAATAGTCAATAATATTTGGTGGCACCTATAAGATTCACTGCTTGTGTACAAGATATACGTATGCAGTCTTTTAAAGACATTAATTAAATTCAGTTTTGCATGATAAAATTATAATTAAAAATGCAACATTTGTTCATTTGAGAACTGTTTAATCTAAATATTAAGTGATAGTCAACTTCGGATTTTATCATCGACATGACATTAGGGGAATTGTGGCAGGAAAAATTATCTAACTCCAAGATCCACAAATCTTCAAAATTCAGCTTGTAGCCGCTATAAATTGGTATTTAGTATCAAGGAAAATAAAAAAAAGTCTAGACTTTTCTGTCTAGATGATCAACTCATGAGTTCATGGGAAACATATCCAATGAAGAAACCCTACACTGGAGACATAGAATCATCTCACTATCTCTGCAGAAAAGCAGAATATGCTTTAATATGCAATATAAAACTGAGCTACTTATACATTACGGCTGTTATAATTTCATAAGTCCCAATTTCATCAGTCTTATTAACATATGTAGAAATTACAAATAATCTTATTCAACTGTAAGAAAATTCACTTCCCTGCTCTAAGCAGTTTCCAGTCTAAATATATCCGAGATCCCAGACCAATCAAACAGAAAATAAATCAAGGGAACAAGTAGCAGTAGGAATCAGGGGACCCTGTTGTTTCAATAAAGATAACTGAACAAACTTAAAAGACAGGAAAGTCAGCAGTTAGGAAAAAGACAAAAATATTAAAATGTCATGACAAAGAGCAAACAAGAAAGGGATAGGAGTTGTCTTGGGTTGATCTGGATGCTTCGACTACATTCCCAAAGGTACTTTTACCAAAAGGCAATTAGACTTTCTTGGGTTTTTGTCTTTAAAAATGTTTAGCTTCTAGTATTTTCAAAGAAAAAAGGCAAGAAAGTTTTTATTTTTTGCGGGGGGGGGATATCTTTGGGACAATCATGACCTGGAAGATTGAGAATCTCCATGGACACTTGAACTACAATGCTCCCTTTGCTGTAAACTGTTTAAACTTAAATTGTTTAAAACAATTTTTTATGAAATATTTAGGAAATTTAGAATTCTTTGGGCAAAATCCAAAAGGTAAAGGTTTTTTTTTTAATCAAATACACTGATCCCAAAAATATGATTTCTACAGCTATACGTTTTCAAAGATTTAGTGATATTTTCATATTTTAGAGCAAATAGGCTACTGTAAAATACGGAATAGATGTTTGTACAGAGAAAAGACTTAACCACAATTGTCATAATCTTGTGGCAATGACTTAGAACAAATTACTGCTTTTCAATACAAATGATGATCTGGCATTTCCACCATTAAACAAGATGGGAATCAGTTTATCTAGTGAAGGAATAGAAATATTTTGAACATTTTAGTAAATCAATCTTTAGAATGAGAGATAAGATGACAAGAAACGTTGAAATGGAAATACTGCAGGGAATGAGGAAAGTTCAGTAGCAAATTAATAGATATTGAACCAATAAAACCAAACCAAATAAGAACCAAATTCTCTCTCCTGTATTCCTAATATGAATGGACTAAAGAAATGCAAAATGAATCAGAGGATGATGCCAGAGGAAGCAGTAACAACAACAGCAAAACACATATTTAATTCGCACAACACATAATGGGAAGATTTTTGGAGAAACGGATATAAACAATAAACCCATCAGAAACAAAGAATCATAGATTTGGAAGGAATATTGAGCATCTAGGCTAGTGTTTCTCAACCTTGGCAACTCTAAGCTGTGTAGATTTCAATTCTTAGAGTTCTTTAGCCAGAAATGAATGAGAAATATTCTAAGCACAAATTCTCTTAACGCTCCAAATAGATGATTGTCCAACTTGAAAGTTTCTTAGAATGGAGCACCCACAACTCAGAGGCAAGTTGTTCCACTTTTAATAGCTGCACTGGTAATGAAATTCTTCCTTATTTCAAGTTTGGATTGTATAAAGCAATTGACATTCACTTCAAGAGAGCAGTGTATTCTGTGGAGGCCTTGTGATGTACTTTGCAGATGTCAAGAGATGATTCAATTTAATTCTTCAACAAAGCAGCTGAGTGGTCTTAGACCATCTGAGGACAGAGTTATGGGAAAAGGCTCATCACCACCTTCTCTGATGCTGATGAAATGCTTCAAAGCTTGACAATTTGCAGTGTATGTTAAAACTGCCTTGCTGGGAACATCACTACTGACCAGTTTGGAGAAGTTTTCAGGCTTTGAAAGTTCGGCCCATGCTGCAGTTGTCTCTAGCACTTGCCAAAAATATTAAGTTTAGAAGACCTAAGGCATAATGCTAAGAGGACTCCAAGTGGGCCTCCAAGCTTAATGAAGACACTTTTTTTTTTGCATGTTCACTGTATCTTCCACTAGAACTTCAAGAAAAAATATGTGGCAGCACTTAGCTGATCTTGATTGGCCCCCAAGGAAGTGACATAGGATTTGACCAGATCAATTACTTGAATAGAAAAGTATCACAAAAATCCCAGGACTAGACCAGATTGAACTAAACCGACTAATACTAAAGTAATGGCAGCTAGTTTCTGAATAATTGTCATGAACACTGCAGGAATCATAAGAGCAAAAGGAGCTTTAAGCATGTCAATCTGCAGGCTGTTTGACAGCTTTCCATGAAACTGACCATGTATGCAAAGATATCTCAGTGTAATGTTTGGAATAATCCTTTCTCACATTATACATTTTTTTTTTTAAAAAAAGAGCATACCGTATATCTTTTGGATTCCCTGCAAATCATCATTAGGCAGTTTGAAATTGTCAGTTTCCATGTATTGGTAAAATGGAGCCATAATGGCAGTCGGATCGTTTGAATGTTCTAATCCAAGGGCATGTCCCAATTCGTGAACTGCTACTAGAAACAAATCATTTCCTGGAGGAAAAGAAAAAAATATTGTTTATAATATTTATATCTCCACTTATTTAAGCAATTTACATAAAAGCCATAATTTAAGTGTATTTCAATCTGGGTTTTCCAAAATTTCAGGAGTGGCCTCTATATACTGTACATCTTACCCAGGATGTGTTGAAAATTCTTAAACAGAAGAGAACTCTACATGTGTCCTTTTAAACATTTTATTGCTGTAAAAAAAAGAAAAGCACTGGAAGCGCAAGTATTATAAAAACCTAAATTACACTGATTCCAAAAAGGTGATTTCTATATAGCTATTCAGAATTTTTCAAACATTTAATGAGGTTTTTTTCATTTTCCATTTTGCAACAAATAAGCTACTATAAATATGGAATAGAAGTATAAATGTATTTCTAAAGCAGAGAAGTAAACAGAGAGCAGACATAATGAACCTCAATTGTTCTAATGCACTTGTTCAAACAATAATAGTTCTATAAATACCAATTTAATACGTATGAAATATAAAATTTACTAGGTCTGTACCAGAGGTGGGATTCAATTTTTTTTTACTACCGGTTCTGTGGGAATGGCTTGCTGTGCATAGCAGGGGAATGATACTGTAAAATCTCCATTCCCTCCCCATTCCAGGGGAAGGTTACTGCAAAATCCCCATTCCCTCCCAATCAGCTGGGACTCGGGAGGCAGAAATGGGGGCAGGGCCACTCAGAGTTGGTATTTACTGATTCTCCAAACTATTCAAAATGTCCACTACCAGTTCTCCAGAACTGGGCAGAACCTGCTGAATACTACCTCTGGTGTGTACCCTTTATACCTTGAATAGTAAGTTGTTTTACTGTATATTGCACTGTTACTTCATATGTTCCTTTGATATACATTTATGCACTTCTCATTTCGACTGCAGATTTAGAAATATTGGAACCCTTGATCACAAGCCTAATATTTCTGCTGAATAATTCCAAGTTTCCTAGACCTTTCCAGGCAAAAATAATCCATTTTCATCAGTGCCCGTGCCAGATGAGCGATAGTTCTCATTCAGCCAGAGAAAAGCAACAGGGTAGCAGACTTGACCACTGCCAAATAAGGAACAGATGGAAACCAGCCTGACTGACCAAAAAGAGATCTGGGCAGTTTATTTCATAGGGTAGGCAAAAAAGAGTCACAAAATGGTTGAATATCTATTCTATAAATAGGATTTGCTCTTGTAATACAGTTGGTAGACCTTTCATTTTGGCTTCCTATTTTTTTCAAATTAACAACAACAAAATAATTATTGGAAGCTATTGGATTCTTGTGAGATACAAGAAGGTTGGGAAGATTCTTCCTTTGTAAAAACACCATGGGAGGAAATGGAATCTTCTTCTATAGCACTATTGGCCAAGGAGACCCTAGTGCTAGGTGGTTCCAATGTGGACTCCAGAATTCCAGAAATAGAACAGAATTCCATCTTTCCACTGGATAAGTTTAACAATCAAAACAATATATAAACAAAACTTTTAAAAATCTGATAACTGTGCACTATTGTTATTGCCAGTTATACTTTCTCTAAGGAGATATTCACATATTCACAACAACTTGTGTCAAGAAAGCTGATTTTAATCCACTTTATGTTGATTTCTATTTCATATATTTTAATAGGACAAAAATAGACAGTAGAACCACTAAGCCTATTCTCAACACTATATAAGTCAATCAGTTTGATATACGGGTATAGTGGTTAAAGGCACTAAACTAAAAAAAAAAAAAGGCAGACTGAGTTCTAGCCTTACGTTAAAGCCAGCTGGCTAATTTTGGCAATGTAGTTATAGGAAGAAGGTAATAGCAAACCACTTCCAAAAATCTTACTAAGGAAACTACAGGGATTTATCCAGGCAGTCACCGGGAGTCAAGACTGCCCGAAGTCAATTTTTCAAACATTGATATTTCAAACCTTTACCTTATCTTCAGAGGTTTTTTTCCTCATAGGATGAAATAAAAACCAATTTAATTTACTTGGACATTGTGCTAGCATTTTTGATACACCTGAGTTTGGGCATCTTTACAAGTCAAACAAACCGAAGATGATAAAGTATATTTATACATAGTTTATTACTGATGTTTTAATTAATAAATTAAAAACAACATTAGCTTTGGCATCCAAAACAAATTTTATTCTCAAAACTGATCTGCACTGTTTTCAATTCTACAGATTATCTCTTGCCTGTGTGACGTGTTTTAGGGAGAGATTATTGGGACTATTATTCAAATGTCACACAAAAAGATCTATTTGAAGTATTCTTTGGTTTTTCAAGTGTTCACCTACTGCCATACCTTTTGTTAAAAGTAGTCAAACTAATCATTAAGATCCACAGTTATTTTGGTATTTGGATTTTTTCCACATACTTCCCATTTACTAGTTCATTCATTTCCATGAACAAAAAAAAAAAAAAAACAAAGCAGAAAAACAATATATTGACAGGATGCAATGAGCAGAAATGGAGAACAGATCTCACAATCTATTGAGGTATCCAGAGCCTTAAAATCCTGGTCACTGCCTGGGGGAAAAGCCAGCTATTCAAAGCTTTCTGAAAGCTATTAGAGTTGGGTCCATCTCAGGGATGGTGTTCCAAAACAGACAGAGAAGACTGAATTTCTAGAATTCCTAAAAATGGCCTTGATGGTTGGGTATTTTACAGCCTGAACCCAAACATTTGGAAAATGTACAGATTGGACAGCAATGATCCAATAAATTCCAAGGTTTAATCTGCTTCGTTGATCCCTTCCAAAGTCACCAGCTTACTTGCATCGCTGCCATATCAGATGCTAATGCCATACGTTTTGTGCTTTAAAGCATCTCTGGCTTGAAGTATTTTGTTTTCTTGCTATAAATGCCACACATGATTTATTCACTGTTGAGACATTTGCTTCCCAGGAAATTAATGTCTGACTTCAAGATTATTTGGGTTCAGTGCATCAAATAAACTGGAAGCCATATGAAATTTACTAGAAGGTGATCTCTGCAATTCAACAATGGGTGAGGATTGCCTGTCCCCAAGCCCCTTGGTTGCTGACATGCTCATCCAGGTGAGAAAAATGACTAAGCCCAAGCTCCATTTATTCAAACATTTTTAACATAATCACTGTCTTTCTATCACACTTGAAAATCACTAAAGGTGACTCCATATTAAATTATATTTCTAAATGATCACAAGGAGGAAGGTTGGAAAAAACTTCTCCAAAAAGCTGCTGGATAAGCAAGTATTTGCACATTTATTCACAAAATGCAAATGTTCTAATGCAACACAGAAGATAAAAAGAACTCTAGCCCTTACCACCAACAAAATGCTAGGTTTTAGACATATAAAAATACACATTAGTCACTACTTGGCAATAAAAAAGAAATTCTGCAATGAAAATCAGGTTAAGTAACTTTGATAATATCTGCTTCTGCCATAAACATGAGCTGCATATTAAAAGCAACCAGACATGTTTTGATTATTCAGGTTAGTTTATAAGAACTTGTCTGCTAAAGGAACCATTTCTTTCAGCTACAGATGTGAAATACCAGAAGAAAGAGCATATTACCTTTTATGCCCTAAATTTTATAAGCCGTATTGATATTGCCTTTTCCAGGCATATTTACAAGGTTTTATCTGTTGTAGAATGGCCTGATTTGTAATTTCCTAGTTATCTTCAGCATCTCTACTGTTGATCCATTCAATCTAATTTAATCCTTCATTAAACCAGATTATCCAGATTTTGTGATTTGCGGAGCAAAAAGGCTTTGTAGTAGATAACGTGCATCTTTGTAAAGAATCTAGGAGCAATACTTTTATCTTATATTGAGATAAAACAACATAATCAGAACATTACCATGTCTAAAATGAACATACTACTGGGATCTGGCTGAAAGAGCTATGCTATGGATGTAAAGTTCCATTTAAGACATCAAATTCAACTACCAACTTACTGTGGGTAAGTAAATTAAAGAATCACAGATAGTGATTCAGACAATGAAGAGGAACTTGGGCCAGTTCTGGAGTCTGGGGAAGGCTCTGATGGATGCTCTGTGTTGGACACAGAGATAGAGCCAAGGCCGTTCAACATTTCCCAGCCACCAGACAGGCAGCTGCCTTTGGGAGACTGAGATAAGTGGGAGGGAGAACAATTGGGGCCTGTTCAGGATGTGCTTATGTGCAGAGCTGTTAGGAGAGGAGAATAACTGAGGACAAGGAGTTGACTCGGGAAGCAAGGCACGCATGGATGCTGAATGGCCCCTCCCTGGCTGGAGAATAAATAGAAGGAAAGTGGAGTGGTGGTCATAGGAGACAGCAGTTTGGATTTCTGAAGATTTGGCTCATTGTGTTTCATGCCACAGAGACTGCTTGCCAGAACTTCACTTGTAGCTTTTCGGCTGGGAGCTCATGGCTTGGCAATTATGATAAGGAACTGATAAGGTCTGTTACTGCAGTAACAGCTGTGGTTGTTCAGTGATTACAATGCAATATTTCAGGCTAACTCATTATTCACTGCCAGGAATTCGATTATGACCGGCTCAAAGTTGACTCAGTCTTCTATCCTTCTGAGATCAGTAAAATGAGGACCCCATTTGTTGAGAGCAATATGCTCATATTTGTAAATAAAGTACTATGGTGGGATATATAAGTCTAAGTGTTATCTCCCATATAATTCATTATAATGGTATGATAAACCATATGATCATTACATTTTGATTGACTAGATTTAAATATAGCATAGTGGTTTTGAATATAGCATTATTTTTCTAGAAAATATCAATAATGCATTTTTCTGTCATTGTTCTGTAATAATATTTTTATTTAAAGTATTATGAAGGTACTAATTATATTTTAGGATCTGATACAAAACAATGAGTATTAACTGAAGATTTTTTTTCTCATTTTGAAATTTTACCTCCATTTGTAAACATGTTAAAATAAAACAATATGCAGGCAGCCACTTCTAAAACACCAATACATGAAAAATATTGTTAGCACTTGCTTTAC